TTTTTGGCTAGGTTTAAAGGGAAAGAGCACTTTTAGGATAAACAAGGCAATAATAGATGGCACTCGTGGAGGTAGGAAAACGAAGTTCTTTATGAACCGCAGGATTGCTAGTAATAAAGATTTAAATGCAAAAGAAAAAGCAGTAGAGCTGACTATTTCTGTCAATGGTAAGTTTGTGATAACTTAAGAAAAGTAGTTTAACTGTTTTGCCACTTGCTTGAGCAACTTAATATGTAAGTAAATGCAAAAGTAAAAAGCATTGAATAATGTGTTGCTTATATTTATTGTGTTTAAACATGTCTGTGAAAGATTGTATTACTGTACTCAACTGTGTAAAAAAAACAATTGCAATGCTGAAAAAGCATTTTCAGTGACAATGTTTGGATTTGAAATCAAAATAATGGATAAATGTTGTGTTTGTGGTAAACAGCCACGGATCAGTAGCGGACTCCTGTGTGAAAGCACAGTCCTTGCTGCTTCCCCCTCTCACAAGAGTCACCTAAGAGGGGAATTCCCCCCATTTTCAAAAATGAAATTCAGGCCCTGAATAAATGTCTAAAAATCCTGATTGGAGTATCACTATAAATAGTTATAAATTATAAAAAGAAGGCTTTAAAAAGATTGGTATCGTTATCGGCAGATACTGCTTTCTGTGATCGGCGATCGGCCTCAAAAATCCTGATCAGAGCACTCCTATTAGATACATAATTATTTCCCCCCATTTTCAACGTTGGGGAATAAAATCCGGCACGGATTCATACTGTGCTGGAATATTATATGGAATATGCTGGAAAGTTATGGTAATGCTCAATTCAGCTGCATGTGTACAGCAAATACAACAACAGATAAGAAGACAACTAAAGTAAGAAATCAGTGAAGAAATTAAAATGTCATTAACAAGTCTTGAGCATTCTTTCAACAAAGACCAGCATGCAAATGTTTGGTAGTCCTTAAAACAACAGCACAGTCTGGTCACATTTTTGGTTATCAGTGGTTTGCATTAATTTGAATTGTTTTGTGAGCATCACAATGTTATGTTAGCGTCACATACTCATAAAACCCATCTGTTCAAATACAGATATATTGCTATAAAATAAGACATATATTAGGCTGCATTTGATTAGTCTCTTAATTTTACAATTTGTATCAATATCTACACTACAATAAAGCCATTTTTCCAATGAATTCTAGTAACATATTTAAGTAGTATAAGTGTCTTTCTCGAGCTACTCAAACATCAATGGTTTGGCACAAACATCTACAATCACTGTCTGACAGGGAAACACTGCATAGTAAATAACTTAAGCACTCCAAATTCAAAGCAAAATTTGAGTAACCAGTAACAAATACTGTATGTGTATACAAATAATTGACTGTGCTTTCTGCCTTTTTAGATTTGAACAAAAGAACAAGCGGGAATATATGGTACAGTATGGGGCTTGTTAGGGTCACACCCCCTTTAAATTCATTTTAACATTTTCTTGTGGACTTTTTTTTAAGATAAAGCCAATGATCATATACATAAACTTTTTGTGTATATAAAGATAGCACAGCAAGACCGCAGCACATAATTTGGTACTAAAAACTACATAAATATAGCTATGCACATGACTCAAGAAACATCAGTTAGTCTATATAACATGACATAAGTCAAATCCTTACCTCTCCATTCGACTCTAAGGCATATGGATCCAATCTAACCATGCAGTCGTGGTAAATGTTAAGGCACCGAGCACGTCTGCCACAGCTTGGGATGGAGGTCAACACCCTAATAAAATAGCGTTAATATACAACACATATAAGTTAATTTATGTACCTGCAATAGTATCATACGTTATTGTAGACTGATTATTTTATTCATTTCTGAGCTGCAGGATCATGTCACATAAATATACAAGCACTAGATTGTAGCAAGCAACACCTGACGACTCCAGTTCTTTATATGTTAATGCAAACACTCTATTAGTAAACAGCTTATATAGTTATTCGCATTTCATCATTTATGAATAGTTTAATCAGTATTCTCTGCCTGACACAACAGTCGACCTGTCGAATCTGTCGACCTGACAGATTATAAGAAGTTGTATTTGTGTTGAAAAGTAGTTTTTGATTGAATACCGAAGCCATGAATACCGAATGTATTATATTCAAACATTTTGTCTGTAGAATTTATAAATTGAGTTGTGCTTTACCTTCTCGTCTGACAAGATTCTCCGAGCGCGCATCATGTTTTCTGGAGATTACGCAGCCTTGACACGTGCTGTAAAACGCTGCGTTTGTGGGCCAATAAGGAATCATCTACATATTTCAACAAACTAACGAAACGTATGGGAGCCAGAGGCTAGTTGTTGTCACACAGGTAGGTTGTCTGAATATCAGTAACTTTTATAGTAGATTTTCAATTATATGTCCAATTTATACAAATGTGTGTTTTCTAAAGCAGGACCCAGGACCTTTTTTTTTTTCTTTCTTTTTTTTTTCTTCTTCTTTTTAGTTTTATATTTTTGCTACTCTTGGGTGAACCAGAACATAATAAAAGCACACAAGCATCAGGGCTTTAATTAAATCAAATTGAACCATAGGCCTATTCAATTGTAATAATTCAGTGCTTGCCAAACACAAGTTACTAGTTACTAATATTAAAATGGAAAAGTTGTGTCACAAAATATCAGCGTGTTGTGGGGTGTTTACAGTCAAACTGTTCCACAACAACTCCACACGTAAAACCTAATATTCTTTTATTGTCCAATATTTGTGTTTATATGGCTATTTCACAATGTTCTACTTATTTGACATGGCTTTTTGAAACTAGGAATCTACTCCTCACTGTCCCAGATAAAACCAGTAACAACAAAATGTTCTGAATAAAGTGTATGAATGCATGTAAATGAAAGGCAAAGTAGCATTGAGGAGACTGACTTGCTCTGATTGGTTCTATAGCCGAGCTGCACGACCAACACCAGATTTCAAGGAGATGATATCCCTCTTGGTTAATCATTAAATCTCAGAATCCATTGCCAGTCTTCTGTAAATAAGATAAATGGCCTTAAGGCACTCACCTCTGTGACGCACCATTTCAGAGAGAGCAGAGCTTTAATTAAGACTGGAAGGTGTTATCTTGCCCATTCTTGGATTAATGAACTTTTCCAGGATTAATATTTGAACGGTTCCTATTAGAGTTTCCGTCATGCTACAGGTTTATTTTGTGAGCATTTGTTTCTGAGGAAAGAGGAGACGCAACACACATAGTTGACAAATTGTTTAAATGTTTTTTGGAGATTCATTGGGATGCTTCGGAGATGTGTATCATTTCAGGAATGAATATATGCATCACATTGCCAAACGTTAGAATAGGCTGTTGATTTTGGAATGTTTTAACAATTTAGCACTTTTTTGTATTATTTGACTTGGTGGTTTTAATTTTGCATTCCAGTTTTTCTTTTTAATTTCTCCTTGAACATGCCAATGAAAAGAAATATAGGGAGCCCATTGAAGAATGACACGTTTCATCAACTACAAGCGTCTCAGACAAAGAAAGCTTGCAAAAACGCAGGTGACCTCCACGCTACAATTCTTGTTGACCAAGACAATCTCGGGAAAAACATGTTTTTCAAAGCCAGGCTTGATGAGGAGGAGGATTCTGGCATTAAATCAGGTGGGGAAATCATCTTTGTTGTAAACTGTTTTCAAACTGGCTTTGATTGAACTACTGCTATGCTTTCAGTTCGAAATTCTCAATCTGTCGCCAGTTTGTTTAGCAATTATACGTTATGAATAGTTTTGGCACACGTCACGGTTTGAAAGCTATGTATGTTATTCATTTGGCAGAAGCTGATGAAAGTAATGGAAGCATTTCCTCTGAAGAGGACCTGGGCCACCTGGATTATTCTAAGACGTTTTCTGTCAAACAAACTGTGCCAAAGAAAAGCATCAGTCAGATCATCAAGGACAAGAAGAAACAGACTCAACTTACTTTACAATGGTACTCTCTCATCATTTTTTCTTTTAATGAAGCTTGCCATTATAAATAATGTACAGAAAGTGGAAGCAAAGTATGATAATACGCTTGTATTTTGCTGTTCTATTAGGCTCGAGGAAAATTACATAGTTTGCGAAGGTGTTTGCCTACCACGGTGCATCCTCTATGCTCATTATTTAGACTTTTGTCGGAAGGAGAAATTGGATCCTGCTTGTGCTGCCACTTTTGGGAAGGTAAGAGGAGGATATCTTCAGTTACACAGTATGTTTATTAGAAACGTTCTCAGTTCTGTAACTTCTAAAACTGGTTTATTGAAAGCTATTGCATTTTAGGTTTATTTGAGTTGATAAATGGTAAAAGGTTGTGCTTGCCAAATAAGTACATTATCAGACAGAAATACCTATTGATTTTGTATTTACAGTGCATTAGGAGATCGATTGTAGTATATATTAGAACTCTATCATTGTCATTTCAGACCATAAGGCAGAAATTTCCTTTGCTTACAACACGAAGGCTTGGAACCAGAGGCCATTCGAAGTAAGAGAGAGCTAAATGGCCTGGTTACTGACTGAAAATGTTATTTATTACTATTTAATGTGCTATTTAAATGGCTACATCTAAAGCTCTCTGTGTTTGTCTTTCAGGTATCATTATTATGGTATTGGAATCAAGGAGAGCAGTGCGTATTATCACTCTGTGTACTCTGGAAAAGGTTTGACACGGTTAGTTTTGACCTTCATCCCTTCATTTCAGCGCCCAATTGCAAGTCCTTAAATGGTTTGAATAATCTGTAATGCAAGTGATTTTTCAATGCCCATACTGAGACACATTATATTTATTGACGTTTATTTTCATGATTCATTTACATTTTTTAGTGTTTTATCATATCAGTAATGTCTCTTATATGTTTTGCACAGATTCTCCGGAAGCAAGCTAAAAAATGAGGTTGGCAGTTTTACGATTTTTCATATTAAATAGAAGTGCTACTGCACTTCAATTTTAGTATCTCAACATTCTCAGGAAATTGATATACTGTTCAAAAGTTTGGGGTTGGTATGTTTTTAAATATACAGTATAAGTCTCTTAAGCTCACCAAGGCTGCATTTAATTGATCAAAAATAATAAAGTAAAAACAGTAAAATTGCATGACATTATTGCAATTTAAAAAGAATTATTCCAATGAATTCAAAGTTGAATTTTCAGCAGTTTTCAGTGTCACACGGTCCTTCAGAAATCATTCATGCTGATTTGGTGCAATTATTACCAAGGATTGATATCAATATAATGCATCCTTGCTGAATAAAAGTATCGACTGAATAAAAATGACCCTTAACTATTTTGTGGTGGAATACTCATGTATTCTTTCAAAATGTAAGACCTTCACATGCATTGCATATGTATATGTTTAAAAAATATTATTCTGTATGCAGAATAATAGTACTTATATGCATGCTCTTTATTATTCACAGGGAGGATTCACCAGAAAATACTCTCTTAGTTCTAAAACAGGAACTCTTTTACCTGAATTCCCGAGTGCACAGCATTTAGTGCTTCAGGAGTCTGTTTCAAAAGATAAGGTCTGTTCATTTCTATGGAGACCCATTCCAAAATGCTGTTTACTGTATATGTGCTACTTCTAATTTACTTACCTCAGATTCTGCTATTTTATTTATTTGTTAGGTCGACACATTGATTATGATGTACAAAACCCACTGTCAGTGCATTCTGGACAATGCCATTAATGTCAACTTTGAGGAGGTGCAATTTTAAGCTCTTAAAGAATCTCTAATCTAGATTCTAGAAAACTGCACAGTAATCAATCCCATTTGTTCCAGATCCAGAACTTTCTACTTCACTTCTGGCAAGGAATGCCTGAACATCTCCTGCCACTGCTAGAGAATCCGGTTATCGTGGACATCTTCTGTGTGTGTGACTCTATACTCTACAAAGTGAGTGTTTTTGAGCCATATTTGGATGTCACTATGTGCATTTTTATACTATCATTCAAAGGTTTTGGGTTGGTTTCAAACAGTTGTGCTGCTTAATGTTTTTGTGGAAACTGTGATAGATTTTTTTTCAGGGTTCTTTCATGAATCTGAAATTCAAGTATCAGCATTTATTTTAAATATAAATCTTTTGCAACATTATAAATGTCTTTACTGTCACTTCTACTATGACTTAATTTCTTTTGCTACTTTTCAAGTGCTATTTATGTGTCAGCTTTATTGTTGTACCCTTGTCCCAAACCTAGACTTTGATTCTTAAAATAAGAAAAACAATCACAGAAATATGATTACATTTTAAAGCTATAATGAAATAATCAAAATATACAAAAATATGGTATCATTTACATGAATAATTCCATTAATACTTTTTTGTTGTTGTTGAACAGTAGCTCATAGTCATCACATCATGTTTGACTCAAACTGTCTGAATTATTTTCCACAGGTTTTGACTGAGGTTCTCATCCCTGCTACAATGCAGGATATGCCAGAGAGGTTTGTCTATTAAACTGCTGCATTATATACAGTAATACACATTTGGTTTATATGCAATCTATTCAAAAAGATGTTGAATTTGATGCTGTTAAGTGATTTTGAGTGAGTTTAGGGAAATATCTCCAGTCTTTTGGCAGATATTCGAAATTTTGCCAAGCACTGGGAACACTGGATGGTGTCTTCCTTGGAGAATCTTCCAGAAATCCTCTCAGAAAAGAAACTGCCGATAGCGCGACGATTTGTGTCTTCCTTAAAGAGACAGACCTCCTTTTTACATCTTGCACAGGTAGATACGTTGTACAGAAACATCAATAAATCTTGCTTTTGGTCATTTTTTATATAAAAGTGCAACTATAATGGATTGATATCTTTTCAGATTGCAAGACCTGCACTTTTTGACCAGAATGTAGTGACTTCTATGGTGAATGATATTGATAAGGTGGATCTGAACAGTATTGGTTCTCAAGCACTCCTTTCAGTTACAAATGACCAAGATTCAGACTTCTACTCTGAATGTGAGTTACTGATGGCTTTTTTTAATCTCATATGCTGAGCCTCAAACTATATTTATGATTTCTTGATCTTATCTGCTAGATGACTCAATTTCAGTCTTTCAAGAGTTGAAAGACCTGCTGAGGAAAAACGCCACAGTAGAGTCTTTCATTGAATGGCTGGACTCGGTGGTCGAGCAGAAAGTTATCAAGGTTTGTCGCATTTCAAACTCACAGTATTCAGGCTAGCCATGACTGTTAATGTGAAATTGCATATTATCTGTCTTCTAGCCCAGCAAACAAAATGGTCGGTCAGTGAAGAAGCGAGCTCAAGATTTCCTTCTGAAGTGGAGTTTTTTTGGAGCACGAGTGATGCACAATCTCACCCTAAACAACGCTAGTAGCTTTGGTAAACCTTTAGCATGCATTCATATAAAATTGCAGTCACTGATTCGGTTGCTTTCAAAGTCTCTAGATATAATTGAATCATAGTAGTATAGTCAAATCTGTACTATTCGTTCAGGCTCTTTAGCTGAGGATCCACTGCGGAGAATGAGCCATAAAAGCCTGTACAAACAAAGCTTTATCTCGTGTCACGTGTGTGCACCCTGATTAGGGAGCGACCTTTCTCAGTGCTCCTAACATTTGATGACCCTACAGGTGTTCACAAAGCCAAACAGTATCACCTGGAAGGCCACACATTTGACCTCAGCAAAAGCTCGGTGAAACCCGTGGGAAACTCTGGTTGTGCGCATTGCATTGTGGGATTTAGTGGCCTACTCTGCATAGTGTTTTTTTTTTTTTTTTTGTATAATCAGTGATCCTGGAATACTGTACCATGAACTGTAAAAGCAGGACAAGTAGTGTGCTATTCTGAACAAAGCCAGAGTTTGTGTGCTGCTGAGCCAAGCTGCTTTTAATCAAAGATCAGATGCCTTTGATTATTATGGTTATTAAGATTTAGGGAGTGATTTTTGCAACATATACTAAAACAGTTCAACCTGGTTTAATGTTATTTACAGGCTCGTTCCATCTCATTCGGATGCTTTTGGATGAGTACATCCTGCTAGCCATTGAAACACAATTCAACAACGACAAAGAGCAAGACCTTCAGAATCTACTGGAGAAATACATGAGGAGTGCAGGTACCTTAATATTTAGTACTTTAATATTAGTAGGCCCCTTAGTAGTTTATTTTACTGTACATTGCCGCTTAAAAGTAAGATTTGTTAATGTTTTTGAAACACCAAGGCTGCATTTATTTGACCAGAAATACTGTAAAAACATGAGGAAATATTATTACGATTTAAAATAACTGTTTTAAAATCTCATTTATTTCTGTGATAGAAAAGCTGAATTTTCAGCATCATTACTCTAGTCTTCAGTGTCACATGATCCTTCAGAAATCATTCTGAAATGCTGATTTGGAGTTTGAGAAACATTTAATATTATTATCAGTGTTGAAAACAGTTGTGCTGCTTAATATTTTTGTGGGAACAGTTATAAAATTTTTTAAGGATTCTTTTATGAATAGGAAGTTCAAAAGAACAGAAAATATTTTGTAACATTATAAATGTTTTTGTCAACTTAATGTATTCTAGCTGAATAAAAGTATTTATTTCCTAAACATAAAAAAAACGAACTGACCCCAAAAGTTTCAGAGTATATGCAAATGTCTTTAACCCAGTTAAATGTGATCTTTTCATTTTGACAGATGCTAGTAAAGCTACTTTTACCGCCTCCCCAAGTTCCTGTTTCTTGGCCAATCGGAAAAAATGCGGTGTGGCGTCCAGTGATTCGACTGTCAAGGACGAGAACCCACCAGAACATGACTTCCTGGTGCTCACAGCTGCACAGCAGGGGCTCGGGACCAGTACGGTTGTGTACCATAGTGCCGATCCGGACAACTTTACTATATCTGGTACTTGAAAACAGCAGCTCACATCAATTTGAGTCATATTCATGTTTACTATAGTCAAAAAAAGTTATTATTGACTATAGAGTGCAACAGTCACTTTTTCAGAAACCTTTGTTCCAGAAGTAATCCTATTATTTTCTTCATAAGGATATGCAATTATCTGATGAGAAGATGAATTGTTTCAAAACCAAAGACTAGGGTATAAAATTAAATTTAACAAGATTTTTAAACATTAGTACATTTATAAATTATTTTAAAATATAATATTTTCTGTATCATTGCTTTACAGCTTAAATGCTCATATGTGACCCTGGACCACAAAACCAGTCAATTTTTCAATATTGAGATTTATACATCATCTGAAAGCTAAATAAATAAGCTTTCCATTGATGTATGGTTTGTTAGCATAGGACAATATTTGGCCGAGATACAACTATTTGAAAATCTGGTATCTGAGGGTGCAAAAAAATCAAAATATTGAGAAAATCGCCTTTAAAGTTGTCCAAATTAAGTTCTTAGCAATGCATATTACTAATCAAAAATTAAGTTTTGATATATTTATGGTAGGAAATTGACAAAATATCTTCATGGAACAAGATCTTTACTTAATATCCTAATGATTTTTGGCATAAAAGAAAAATCGGATCATTTTGACCCATACAATGTATTTTTGGCTATTGCTACAAATATACCCCAGTGACTTAAGACTGGTTTTGTGCTCCAGGGTCACATATATGGAAGCAAATTTAGTGTATAAACAATTTCCAGTCAGAAATCGCAAGTACATTTCACAAATAATTACAAAGAAACAGCAACACATTGAATTAAACATGAAATTTTGAAGTAGAAAAACTGAAATAGTCATTTCTTGTCAAATATACTTCAGTAATCTTTGTTTTATTTACAACTTTGGAAAATAATTTAGAGTATAGTTAGGTTTGTCTTAACAGATTTATGCATTCCTCCTCCAAAGTGATGCTGTTATTGTTTCTTAATTATATTGAATTAATGTTTATTTAGATTTCTATATTAAAATAATAAATCTTTTTCTCTCTAAGGATATGAAGCAATTCTTCATTTCAGTATTTCAATATTAACTATACTGCAACACATTGAATTAAACATGAAATTTATAAGTAGAACTACTGAAATAGTATTTTCTTGTCAAATATACAGTACTTACAGTAAGTAATCCTTGTTTTATTTACAACTTTGAAAAAAAATATTTTTGCTGTTTCTTTGTCATTAATTGTGAAATTTACTAGAAATTTCTGAGTGAAAATGTTTAACATAATAATTTATTTGAATATAATTACTATTACTTTTCAGGTCAAATGGATTACTCGCAGAACAGCGCCACCCTGATGACCCCTCCGGTCTCTCCTGCCATGATCAACCGTAGCAGTGTGATCAACCAGGGCGCGATGGCTGTGAGGCCGCAGAGCAGCTGCCCCATCCAGCCCCAAGTGTCCTGCCAGACCTTCTCCGACAGCATGTACCAGAGTCTGCACAATGCTAGTTCCGGCTCCTATCCCAGCTCTTCTTACTACCAGCCTGTGTTCAGAGCTCAGACTCCCACTCCAACATCAGCCTATCAGGCTCGTGCTGAAAGCGCCCGCTACGCACCCTTCTCTGGACACCAGCTGACCAAAGACTGCTTCAGCAGCAGCTGCGCCGTGTCTCCCTACAGCTCGAGGGTTGCAGCGACTGGATACGCAGCCTCAGGTGACCCTGTGATGGATACCGAGGGCGTACAGCTGCTGGACTCCACAGCGTACAGCTTTGGAGGAAGTGCTGCCAGTGGAGATGGATGTTCAGGTCCAGTTTGCAGCTCGGGGCACAATGGTGAGAAAAGATTAAAAGATTATTGAGCAATTAAAATAAATGTATAAAAATGTACACTACTGTTTAAAATTTGGGGTCAGTAAGATTTCTTTCTTTTTTCAAGAAATTAATACTTTAATTCAGGATGGATGCGTTAAATTGATCAAAAGTGACAGTGAAGACATTTATAAAGTTAAAAAAAGTATTAATGTTAAAAAATTATATTCCAAATTAGAGTTGCAAAAAGGTGGAACATTTCCAGTAAATTTCGGAAACATTCTAGAAATATTAGAAACTTTCCAGGATTTTTTAGAATCTTTTAGAAAGTTTCCAGAAATGTTCCACCCCTTAGCAACCCTATTCCAAATAAATGCTGTTCTTTTGAATTTACTATTCATCAAAAATCTTGTATGTATTAAGGTTTCCACAAAAATATTAAGAAGCACAACATTGATAATAATAAGAAATGTTTCTTGCAGCAGCAAATCCAGTAAATCAGCAATATTCAAATGATTTCTGAAGGATCATGTGACTCTGAAGACTGGAGTAATGATGCTGAAAATTCAGCTTTGGATCACAGGAATAAATTACATTTTAAAATATATTCAAATAGAAAAGAGTTCTTTTAAATTGCAATAATATTTCACAACATTACTGTTTTTACTGTAATAAATGCAGTATTACGGTTTTACTTTTTAAATAATTATAATTAAATAGTTTTGTTATTTTTAATTATATATTTTAAATAAATTAAATCTTGCCTGATGAATCATGTCCTAGTATTTAGTGCACACAATGAGCTTTGGTGCAGACAATGCAGCTTTGAGTCCAGCTCATGTCACATTTCTATTCTTCTCTATTCTATATATCATTTCTTGTCCTTTCTTCACTGTTCCCATTAAAAAAAGTAGCCCAAAAACTGACCTCAGACGACACGATTTATCATTTATTTGAATTATGTTAGTATGCTGCAGAGAAAGGTAAATGTGATGTTATTTTCAGATGCTCCTATTGAAACATTATTGTTCTTCTTTCTCCTGGCCAGGATATTACAGCAGCAGCGGGTATGTGGACACTCAGAGGATGGGCACGCTTATCGATCAGCATGTGTCAGTTATCAGCAGCGTGAGCAGCATTCGCTCCGTTTCGGCCTATGCTGAAGTACACGACCCTCTCAACATCCTGGACGACACGAGCAGGAAGACGACAAGACCCTACTACACTGACCTGTCCGCAATGGGCGCACACACAGCAGGTGAGGACAGAAATCCGGGGCTAGTTGTCACAGAGGCGCTGTATCTCAGCACCTATAACACTGTAAAACCACACTGGCATAACAAGAGTCAAATATAATGACGGGAAATTTTAAACAAAAGATGACTGTTCTCAGGACAAGATGTCAGGCCGGGCAAGTTGTCACATGTTTTTATATATATCACTTTTTTTACACTACCGTTAAAAGTTTGGGGTCTGTAAGATTTTTTTAAAGAGCCTTAAAGAAGTTTCTTATGCTTACCAAAGCTGCATTTATTTGATAAAAAACTAGTTAGAAATATTATTACTAACTAACTGTTTTTTTTTCTATTTGAATATATTTTGAAATGTAATTTATTCCTGTGATGCAAAGCTGAATTTTCAGCATCATTACATTAATTCTATTAAACAATCAAGAAACGATTATTATTATTATCAATGCAGAAAACAATATTTTTTGTGAAAACCATGATAATTTTTTCATTATTCTTTAATGAATAGAAAGTTCAAAGGAACAGCATTTATTTGAAATAGAAACCTTTTGCAACAATGTAAAAGTCTTTACTGTCACTTTTGCACAATTTAATATACAGTTGCTAAATAAAACTATTAATTGCTAATCCTCCTAATCCCAAACATTTGAATGGTAGTGTATGTTGCAAAATGTTGCAGTTCCATTAATTGCTTCAAAACATCATTTACTCTTCAAATTTTACCATTAAAAAGTCATAAAATGAACTACTGGCAGGTTACCGTTGTGACAACTTGCCCCGCTCAATGTGCATTAAAGTGAAGTGACATGTGGCCAAGTATGGTGACCCATACTAGGAATTAGTGCTCTGCATTTATCCCATCCAAAGTGCACACACACAGCAGTGAACACACACACACCATGAACACACACCCGGAGCAGTGGGCAGCCATTTTTTGCTGCGGCGCCTGGGGAGCAGTTGGGGGTTCGGTGCCTTGCTCAAGGCAACCTCAGTCGTGGTATTGAAGGTGGGAGAGAGCGCTGTACATTCACTCCCCCCACCTACAATCCCTGCCGGTACGAGACTCGAACCCGCAACCTTTGGGTTACGAGTCCGACTCTCTAACCATTAGGCCACGACTTCCCATTTAAATGAACTGCATCTTTACTCTTGTACAAAGACAAACAGTGGATATTTTCAGCTGTTTTTTTAACCAAGACTTTAAGGTAAGTGCTTATACGTAGTGTGACAACTAGCCCCAGCCTCCCTTATATATTTAATGATGTCGTTATGCATGGCTATTTTTGGCCATTTTTATATATCATATCTTCCATTACTGTCTCATGCTTCTTTATATTGTCCTATTTCAGGATCCAGCATCGCTCATTCCTGCTCCGTCTCGACACCCTGCATGTATGGAACTCCTGCTCCGTATCACTCCCAGAATGCACTGCTGCCTCTCCAGGGGACCACAGAGATCAGAGAAATGGTGTCGTGTCTGCCCCCCATTAACACTGTGTTCATGGGGTCAACTGGAGGGCCGTCCTGACTGAAAGCTTATCTGTAATTCAACATCTCTGCTGTACTCACAGAAGGTGAGACTTGTTTTAGCTTTTATCTGTATATCTGTCAGTGCGTTTTTCATTGCCAAATTTTCATTTTGATTTACTAAATTGTTGTTTCTTTGTGCTAACAGCTAGGATTATGACAGGTAATTACCCAATTGTATCTTTTATTTAAGGTTTTGTAGTATATTATATAATACAGTTTCATTATTGTTCTTGATTTGGCATTCTTGTATATACAATAAAATATATTTAGCTTTCTTTATTCTGGAGGTCAAACTTTATTATTTAATAAACTACAAGCTAAAAAACATCTAGACTGTGACCATCTCATATCATTTCGTAAATGTTTCCACAAATGTTTCCATAATTAAAGACATTCAGCCTTTGATTTCAAATGATATCTTTCTTGGAGTTGCATTACTAATGCAGTCATTAAAAAGAGATGAGCATGAAAGCAGCAGGACATTAATAGAGCAGACTTTGACAGCAGATGTTCAGATCAGATATAATGAAGGCCTGGTCACACCAGAGCTATTTTAGTTGTATTTATATACTATTCGTTTTTATTAATATTTTCACTTAGCTTCATTTAATGTTTTCAGTTTTCAATTTTTGTTTAATTTTAGTATTTTTTTTAATGCTTTTGTCATTTATTTAATTAATTGTGTTTTATTATTTTATTATGTTATTAAATTACTATTTAAGTTTAATTTATTTCCATTAAAGTTTTTCTTTAGTTTAGTTTAGTTCGAAATTTTGGTTAGTAATTTCAGTGCTTTGGCTTAACCTTAGTTCAGTTAGTTGCCAAAGCAACATTTCTAATTTTCATTTCATTTATGTTTTGTTTGGGACATTTGTATTTTATTTTATTTTCAATTACACAAATAATATAATAACCATGGTTCACACCAAAGAGATTTAATTGTATTTAAGATTGTATTATTTAATTGTACGATTTAATTTAAATGACATTTTAAAATATATCAAAATATAAAACAGTTTAAATTGTAATAATATTTCAAAAATGTACAGTTTTCACTGTATCAAATAAATGCAACCTTGTTGGGCATAAGAGTCTTCTTTCTTAAAAATATTACCAACACCAAACTTTTGAATAGCAGTATAATTACTATTTCCAGGGTTTCTTGAAGTGCAAATAGACAAATCATATTTCCATAACATTTACTTTTAGTAAGTAATTAAGTCATTCTTCAACTTAAACTTAGTTTAGTTAGTTTGCCAAGGCAACATTTCTAATTTCCATTTTTTATTTCAATTTATTATTTTTAAATAGTTTTAGTTTTAGGTAATTACAAACAGTGTTGGGAAGGTTACTTTGGAAATGTAATCGGTTACAGATTACAACTTACCCTACTAGTTACATTTATTTTGTAATTAAATTACGTAATTCCGTTACATGTAACTAGTTACTCCCCAACACTGCTGGATTCTATGAACCAGTCTGTGTTTTCTGCATCGTGGAAATTATAGGGCCGTATGTCTCAGAGTAATCAGTGCAATTTGGGAAAGAAATCAATTAAATCTGTATGTGGATGTGTGTAAATATTCAAATGTAATCCCCTTTGTAATCGTTAACATTTTCATAAGTAACTGTAATTTAATTACACATTTTTTCTTAGTAACTGTGACTGATTACAGTTACATTTATTTTGTAATTAAATTACGTAACGCCGTTACATGTAACTAGTTACTCCCCAACACTGATTACAAATAACTCTGGTTTACACCGAGGAGATTTCAAACAGGAAACACAATTGTGGATCAAACTTGGGTGTTATCTTCATGTTAAGAGAGGAATTGATTTCTTGCATTGCTAACAATCAAGTTGATAAAGGTGTTGACTAAAACCAGGCATGCAGGACACAAGCTGTTCATGCATTGTGAATCTTGGTGTGCTTTATTCATCCCTGGGTTCTTTAAATTCAGCTTTGTTAGTCTTTGAGCAGATGGACGCTAATAAATCCATAATCAGATCGTCTGAAATGATATAATTGCATCATAATATATTTGTATGTACGGTGCTGGTGCAAACTCGCACGGCTCGGATGAGGATTTCAGCATTGGTCTGTGTGTAAAGACGTGACGATAAATGATAAAAACCGGCCACATTGTGCTGGCCTTTATCTCCTCAAAGGGAAAATCCATTTCAGGCCTTGGACAGGAACAGATGGCTTAAAATGTAATGATTACAAAATCCTGACGTTAAAATAGTTTAATTACAAAGTCAATAATGCCTTCAACAATTGCCTGGGCTTTAGTGTAAAAACAACAGAAGGCAGAACGCAAACTTTGGGACAATGTTTAACCAGAACTTTGCATTAGGCAGGGAGACTCCATATGCAGCTCAAAGATCAACAGATCCTGTGTAATTACGACTCTCTCTCTCTCTCTCTCTCTCTGTGTGTGTGTGTGTGTGTGAGTGAGAGAGAGAGAGAGAGACAGAGAGAGAGAGAGAGATGGATTTAGTGCAGTAATGTGTGCTTAACTGACTACTGTCACAATCATATTTACTTCTCACGCTTTTATAATCATTGACAATCTTCTTACAACAGCTTTCAAATCTTAATGCACATCTGTAGGTTTCTTTCTCAGCATATGAATAAAATTCATTGCACATGTTTTTTTAGAGATGTCTCTTATGCTCACCAAAACTGCATTTATTTAATTAAAAATACAGTAAAAACAGTACTATTGTGTAACTGTTTACTTAGTTTAGTATGTTTTAAATGTAATTTAGTCCTGTGATGCAAAGCTGAATTTTCAGCATCATTACTCCAGTCTTCAGTGTCACATGATCCTTCAGAAATCATTCTGATATGCTGATTTGTTGCTCAAGAAATATTATTATTATCAATGTTAAAAACAGTTGTGCTGCTTAATAGTTTTGTGGAAACTGTGATCATTTTTTTTCAGAGTTCTTTGATGAATAGAAAGTTTAAAATAACAGTGATCAGCACCAAGATGCACAATACAGCCTCACCACTTTTATCCCTCACACTTTCATTTGTGTTGAATTAAATATGACATCTACCCTGACTAAAGTCTATTGTGTTTCATTTGTCAAGTCAAGTCACCTTTATTTATATAGCGCTTTGGGCTGTAGAGGTCCTTTCTAGGTGCTGATCCACCATCTGGTCTGGATATGTACTGGATCCGGGTGACTGCAGTGACCGTCTGATCTGGATACAGACTGGATCTGGTGGCAGCGGTGACCTCGGAATAAGAGAGAAACAGACTAATATTAGCGTAGATGCCATTCTTCTAGTGATGTAGCAAGTACATCGGGTGTTATGGAAAGTGTTCCCGGTTCCGGTTGACCTAATTAATGCAGCCTAAAAATCCTTTAACGGATTTGAATATTAGAAAGCGAATATTTGTCGCAGTGGAAATGCAAGGTCAGGACGAGCACAATGCATTGTGAGATACAGAACCAGTGCAGTGTGATCTGTTATAATGTATATTTCACATTTCAGCAAACCTGCATATTTGTCACTTGCATATTATATGTTATGTATATCTATGCATACTGAACATTAGCATACTATATACTGCAGAAACACTACCATTCAAAAGTTTTAGGGTCTGTAAGATTTTTTGGGTTAGTTTGAAAAAAGAAAAATACTACTTTTATTCAGCATGGATGTATTAAACTTAACAAAGGTGACAGTAAAGTAATTTATAATGTTACAAATGATTTCAAATGTATTACAAATAAATGCTGTTCTTTTGAACTTTCTATTCATCAAAGAATGCTAAAAAAAAAGAAAGAAAATCACAGTTTCCACAAGAATATTAAGCAGCACAACTGTTTTCAACACTGATACTAAAAAGAAATGTTTCTTGAGCAGCAAATCAGCATATTAGAATGATTTCTGAAGAATCATGTGACACTGAAGACTGGAGTAATGATGCTGAAAATTCAGCTTTGCATCACAGAAATAAATTACATTTTGAATACACATTCAAAAAAAAACATCTAAAATTATAACAACATTTCACAATACTGCTGTTTTTACTGTATTTTTGATTAAATAAATGCAGCCTCGCTGTGCTTTCATTGCTCACACAGAAAGCCTCAATGACAAGCGGCACACAGCTATGCAGACTTCATTCAGACAGCAATAGTTAACACGTTATCGCCAGGATCAACTCTGCAGCCGAAGTGTTTCCTCAACACTTGAGATTTCAGGGGTGAGAGGAAAAAGCCCTACAGCATCTGTAGCAACACATCCATGAAGGAACTTTATCACTGTGTACAGTTTGCAAAGGAGGCTTATAATTATTTTTCCCATAGGGGTTTGTTAACAGGTTGTCAGAGAACTGTCAATACCCAATGAAATGAGTAACAGAGGCCTCAAGATGGGAAACTCTATAAAAAAAACCCAACAACAATCTGAATACTTTTGTATTGCTTTTGAATTACTTTTTCAATGTAAAATGAAAAATGAATGTCATGTTCTAAACCTGTATGAATTTCCTTGTTCTGCTAAACACAAAAGAAGTTGTGAAGAATGTTGGTAACCAAAGTTGATGGTAGCCATTGACTTCCTTAATATGGGAAAAAAAATACCATGTTGCCAACATTCTTTAAAATATCTTATTTTGTGTTCACCCGAAGAAAGAAACTCATACAGGTATGGAGCAAGTGGAGGGTAAGTAAATAATAACAAAATTTCAATTTTTGGGTGAACGGTCCTTTTAAATACGTTTCTGTACTGACACAACTTAAGTCTTGGCCAGTAGCGGTTTAGATTGTGAGGCTATATGGGTTGAAGAAGTAGTGTACCCAAAAAATGAAAATTTGCTGAAGATTTACTTACCCTCACGCCATCCAAGATTTTGTTTCTTCATTCAAACAGATTTGGAGAAACTTAGCATCACTTGCTCACCAATGGATCTTCTGCAGTGAATGGGTGCCGTCAGAATGAGAGTCCAAACAGCTGATAACAACAAAACAATAATCCACA